CGCATTTTGACTTCATGTCCGAGTTCGACTCAGACCAACGGACTGAGACATCGGAGCGGCAGTTATACAACGAGCTGTCGAAGGCAAGGAAGAATAATGGAGATACACTGGCTGTATGGATTCGCCTTATTCATTGGACGGAAGAGCACCAGTCGACTGCTCCACCTGGCCATATGAGGTTCATTTTGGAGAGGTGCATTGAAGATGTCAGGCGTCGCAAGGAATACTTTCAAGATGAAAGATTTTTGGAAGTTTTTCAGAAATACGTATGCTATCGTTTCAATTTTTATTTTAATTGATTACTTTCTTGTAGTCATGGTATTAAAAACGTGGTAAAGCTTCCAGTTTCTCATTGGTTTAAATTTAACTAATTTTATTTTGAAGTTTCCGCCAGGTCGTATTGTAGCAGTGAAAAACCCTTATTGCCAAAACATTATCCATAATTTCGTTAACTATTCTTTTTGAGTATTGGATACTGCTGTCTTATAATCTTTTGCTATAGATTATCAACTAGTTAATGATTAATTTGTCTTCGGTTGAATTTCTTGCTCAATGAATTTGTAATTGATAATAAAACTAAAAATTTCGCTACATGGCTCAGACATGTTTCATTTACTGCAATCGACCCAAGGGTTGTGAGAAAACGATTGTGCTGGAATCGGCGAGTAAAGCTTTATTCATATGCAACAACGCCAATCGTATTCGATCCTGTTTGTGGTATCTGTTATTAGTCTCTGCCCTGTTCACAATTTGCGCTGATCGTTTTTTACAACTGCAAATCTTTTATTCATGATCGAGGATCAATCCTCATTTATCAGCTTGCGGTACAGCACTTCCTGTGTCCGTTGCCGCCAATAAGTATATCCGGTCATTTGCGGGGGCTCATCCAGCTCCATCTGCATGCTTGTATCCGGCCATCGCTGACCGTTGCACTACGAATGACCATCGTCTTTGGTCCATTGTTACTTCGGTTCAATTAGTGTAACTTATAATAACTCTCAAAAAGGTTTCGATTGAAATGAATCATGTATGCAGCAACTTCTCCAGTAAGGGCTATTATCGAATAAAACTGTCAAGCGGTGAACTAATACTCACCAGATTAAACTAGCCTACAACAAAGGTGATAACGAACATGTGTTATGTCTCTGTTCGACCCTTAAAAATCATGGAGTATCTTATCAGATTATAACAATGATATATAATTTTCTAAGTGAAGAAGAAACAGAGTTGGGTCCTAAGCGTAAGGTTTGTAAGGAGGAGGTGTAATGCCGCTGTAAGACTAGGTGTAACGACTGTCCTCCGTCTTATGCTACCACAATAACACTGTTGAGTAAGGAACTTGACAGTTTGCGGTATCAGTAACTAAAAGGTGATAGCTGTTCACCCGTTTATGACATTCTGAAAGATGTCATCAGCTTCCGCATACCGTTCATTTACTGTATTCAGTACGTACATTCTTCATTGAGACTGAGATGATCATTGAATGCTCTTGTTGCACAAGAAATTGTGCCTTGGCAGAAACTCGACTGAAATCTCAGCTCAACATCCGAATTAAAGAGCGTCCGTATGTAGTCGAAAGCCCAAGTCATGACACGAAGACGCTACCGACCGGGGGTTTGGTCGAAATGGCAGTGGGTTAATGTTAATGGCATAAGGTTCCGTTTTTGTTCTTGTACACAATTGCTAAATGTGCAATTGGTACTGCTTTCTATCATCATAAGTAATTTCTGTCAGTTTTTTCAGAACAACCTAAGAGATGGCAAGGTTTTACCCCAGATATTTATTTTATCGTTTTTGGCGTACTTCAGTATTAATCATGTTACCTGGTAGTTAATGACAGACAGACAGACTTTCTGAGTGTGTCTGAATGGATTGCCCTTACAGACTGGTTCTCTGACTGACTTAGCCTGATTTCGCAACTGTGTATCTGTCCAGCTGTCATCCTCATTGATTGATTGGATAACCGACTGTTTTTGCCACTGACTGACTCTATAAGGAATTTCTGTCTGCCGTGGCTATTTGTAATCAGCAAAAAGTATGTTTTGTCCCTCAACTCATAGCATTTCATTGTTTCGCTTTTTTCTGTCTTATAATTTCTGATGTATACTTGATATTGTATATTTGATTTCAGACATCTTTCACTAAACATCTCGGTCCCGCCGAGATCTACGAACGGCTTGCTGGCCAACACATCTTTACTGATCTGTCAAAATTTTACATTGCATGGGCATTGGAGTTGGAAGCGCGTCGGGACAATTTCGAGGCGATGCGAGTTTTTCGCCTAGGCTACGAGGCTCATGCTCAACCTTCGGAACATCTTGAACGAGCTTATGCCGACTTCATGGCTAGAAATAGTGTTGATGATGAAGAGCGCACTTGTCATATCCTCACCACTCTTCATCCTCAACCTCAAGGTTTTGTGTTATTGACCTTACTCTGAAAATCTATCAACTGTTTTTAGATTCGGCCTCCAGTGACAAACCTCAGAATATGCCAAAAGTTGAAGGTGACCAATAGGTTTAACTTCAAACTTATATTTTGTGTTACACATTGTGCTAACGAAAATCAAGTTTAAAGGGTCATGCAGCGTACGTGTAATTCTCACAGGCTGTGCCACGAGTTTTCTTTAAAGTACCAAACTATTCTGAGTTGTCTGAAGTACTTTTACTCTCTGTCCGTTTCACGAACGATTGAATTTGAACATATTAATGTGAATTCCTGGAATTAAATGAAGCTCTTAAACACGAGAGTGGTGTTTTATACGGGTATTTAGTTAAAATTCTACAGATTTTTTACGGGATGACACTGCATATAAAATTTATTATATAAAATTCTCCAGTGTTTCGAAGTTTGCTTGATCCGTCTTCAGGAGAGACTACGAGAAACCGCATACATCGCATACAGTAAGATGCCTCCTTCACTTTGGAGATTTCAGATTCGATAATTTAAGTTAATTTAATGGTATCGTTCTAGTGCAAACGTACTTCCAGACTAATATCTTTATTCATGCATTGACTTGATTGAATTGTCAGGGCTTCAATTCTGCTCCTGCTTGAAATATTTCTGTCTTTCAATGTGCTAGAAGGTGAAGTATCAGATTAATGGAGTATCTTATGTCAGGACCAAAGCCATTTGCATTGAGAAAAAATGACGAAATGTCGTATTGAAAAACGACCTTTTAAAATGACTATTTACTAATGTTATTGAAGAGCAAGATGCTCTCGCCAATAAAACGATTCGAGATGCAGCGTAGCGTTAAAAAAAGTGCCATAAAACTCTAGCACCCTTTATGGACTCTAGGCATCTGTGAGCAAGGGGCATTCCTTTAGCGCTGTTTTATCCAGATCTTGGTTTACAGGGCAAATGCAAGCATCGGTTCGATAAGAATCTTTAGAGATGAGACGTAGGCGGAATCTTTAGAGATGAGATTAGTGAATATT